TCGACCCCACTCCCCCCCACAGCCCTGACCCCCAGCTCCGAGCCCAGCCCCTCTGAGCCAGACTCCTCACCCAGCCCTGGGCAACAGTAGCGTCACCCCCAGGCAGCGACAGCCCATTGGCACCAACCATCACCATCACCCAGTGACAGCCCATTATGTAATTGCAAATGTATATATACCATTAAAGCATTTAATGTTTTTAAATAATGTATTTCGTGTATTTTCAAATTATTAAAAATTAATTTTTGAATGTATTTCACTGGTTATTTTTTACATTTCCAAATACATGTTACTAGAGTATTGCAACTTTTTTTTTATGGAAGGGGCCCCCGAAATTGCTTTGCCCCAGGCCCCCTGAATCCTCTGGGCAGCCCTGCTCTTGTATGAAGCAAGGCCCGAGCTCAGCAAAGCACTTAAGTAAGCGCTGAACTGAAGGCACCTGCTTAAGTGGTTTACTGAATCAAGGCCTTCAAATTTTGAATAAAAGCTTAAGAGGGCTATCTAGCCCCAGACCTGAAAGCATACAAGCAGACAAGAAAAATTAATTGGAAAATAAAATGAAGTAATTTTTAGCAACCATTTTACTATTGTTTCTTAATGAGTATGAAGGGAAATTTATACATCACATCCTTAATGTACCTAATTATTTGAAAGAAACCATATTAAGTGTGGTGGAAAGATTAGATTAGTGACTTCTGCTTTTATGTCAGCGATGTGCTATGAAGGGCTCATGGGGAATCACTTGTTAAAATTCCACAACGAATGTGAAGGAAGGCTTGGGAGATTTCCTAACCGATGATAAAGTCTCTCCCACTATGGACACTGTTAAAACATCTAAAATAGAGATGACTTATCATTGGAATTCATAAAAGTACTTCTGAAGACCCAATCCTTTGCCTTTGCAAAGGATACAGTGAAACCAAATGGCAGATATCTTTGCCAAGCAGGGTGCTTCCTGGGCTGGTATTCACCCCACTCCATCCTCTTACCAATTACACAACTTCTGCGGCTATCTATATATTTAGTATTTCCATCTACAAAATCTCAGGATTGTTGTGTTCCTCTTGGACAAAGTGCAGATTACAAAGCCCGGAATGAGACGCAAGATGGCTGGGGACACAGCACCATCAATTAAGGGGATCAAGCTGTGGTTCAAACTTCCAGAAGAGATTAGATGAATCCACAGTCTGACCACTTTTAGGAAATTCTGCACAACATTCCTACTTGATACAGCTTTTACACCATAAGAAGAATGGCACTCACAGCATCAATCACCCCTTTCTAACCCCACATTCCTCCTCTCTCCCCTATCCCAAAAGTGAGACCCTACCCTAAGCAGAGCTTTCTATAACTTCAAAGGGGGCAGAGCCAGTCTTCATGAAGATCTGTAGGGACATCCCTGCTGCCAATCTGATTAATATAGAAGGCACTCCTCAGATATTATGGTGCTGAGTGACAGTACAAAACCATGCACGTGATTAATGTTTTTTCACGTGAAGTTCACTAACTACATGTGTGTTTGCCACATGGTGAACTGCTTCCCTCCTTGGGAGAGAGCATGGAAGTACTTTGTTTTAAATGGGTAACCAAATGAGTAGATTCTCCAGTCCTGCTCACTCTCTCTGTGGGTTTGTGCCTGCGAAATGAATAGGAATATTGCCATGGACTTCAGTGGGAGGACAACCAGGCACTGTAAGCATTATGTGTTATCCCTGTTATGTTGGACTGATCGCTGCCAAAGTGGGTAACTTTTATAGAAGCCACCTTCAGGCACCTATTTGTGAGCATGTTTAGCATAGTATCACATTATGCTGGCTATGCAATTCAGGGAGAGTTAACCTGTGCTTATACACTGTCAGAATTTTGCCTGTATAGACTATTCTAGAGGCAGAGTCTTACCATAGTCTGTTGGTTCAAAGAAATTAAAAGCCGGGCTAAATTTTCAAATATGGTCTCCTATGTAGATGCTGCCAAATAATAATAATGTGTGTGCATCCATGTCCTGCACAAAACATGCAGTCATGTGCACGGACCAATATTTCTGAGCACATTTAGCTCATTTCTTTGGCATGACAGTGCAGGCTTTGTGTGTGCAACAAATATGCAGGCCCTTTTTTTTTTTCAAGGGCACAACTTGGACAACTACATTTGAATATCTGGCCTTTGAGTAGGTGTCTTTTTTTCACATTACTAATTTCTTCCTCTGAAATGAAAACTCATTCCTGGAGCTTCATGACAGAAAGTTCTGTGCAAAAACATGGGGAACATGTGGGCTTTGTTAGACAAAACTCTGTCCCCTGTTTTTTTTAATGTTCAGTTCCCCCTGTGTCTTGTAGAGGCTATACTGATTCTAATGATGCCATATGATGCTTATGACTAAGACTTCTCTTATTTAGCATCTTGTAGGTCCTTGATAGCTCACTTACCCTCTTCCCTCAATAATTGTTTTTTCAGCAAATAAATTAATGAAGTGTGTGTGTGTGTGTGTGTGTGTGTGTGTGCAAGTGCATACACAATTATATTTGTTGGAGGGCAGTTAATTAAAATGTCTCTTATTTGTGGCTCCTTTGAGAAGCCCAGGGTTTTAAAATCCTGCTACAGAAACACTTAGAAGGTTGCCACAGATACAGTTGTCACAGAAAATGGACACTGTTGTTTAGTATTAAAATCATGTATTCCAGATGTGGGCATTTGTTAGTCAGTCTACTCTAAAATGACATACTGCTGAATCTTTAAAGGGCTTCAGTTTGGGAAAGCAAAATATGATTGGGCAAATTGCTAAAATATTTAAAGTGCAGCCTGTTAAAGCTTTTACTGTGAAGAGCATCACGTCAGAAGTTGTATGTGGTAAAAGCAAGTAATTGGCTTTCCATACTTCTGCCAGTCAGTCAGCATGGGGCTCTGTTCCGATCCCTTCTACTTCATTGCAGATGCTAATAGCAACTCTTTTGATATTATTTTTTGGAGGGATGGTAGCGGGAAGAAAGAATATTTATGAACATGAATGTGACAAACCATTTTAAAATCAGCTGAAAAGCTTATTGAAAATCTTCCAGGCCCCAACCCAACATTTAAAAACTTTTTTTCTTATTTTATTAGCTTTTTTTCCCTAAGGCAGGTGTGTTGAAAACATCTGTTTAAACATAAATAAATTTCATTTTTGACTTTTATCCCTGTTTCGATATAGCTCTTGGGATATTTTCCCATCCATAATTCATAATATTTTCCACTTACATTATCTGTGACTTGTTGTTTTTTTTCCCTAGGCATGACCCCTTGTTAATTCCCGGCAATGAGCAGATTGACAACATGGATGCCAGTGTGAAAAAATATGACTCCACGGGGATGTTTCATTGGTGTCCAGGAAAGGACATTGAAAAGGTCATTTTGGTGGGTGCCTTAAAAGAATGTCTTACAAAGTTCCATCCAAAGAGAGCCCATTTAGACAATAAGAATGTGAGATGTTTAATGGGTTAACATAGTTATCTATATCATTTAAAAAAACCATTGTACTGAAATCAGAAATGCAATATGGATGGATTTTGAGCCATCATTCTGGCAAACCCTGGTGGGTATATTAGCCTATAACCCTACATACTTCACTGAAAATAGGCCGCAAATCCTGAGACTACATTTTCATATGGGTTAATGGGACTACTCAGAAGCTTAAAATTATACATGTGCTTCAGATCTTTGTAGGATCAGAGCTATGGTGACCATTCACCATGTACCATTCATGTCTTTGAAACAAGGTGCTAATGCATTATTCCTTATTAGTCAATGGGAATTTTCCCCTATTTAAATTTATCGCTTGGTTTTCAACGTGTTAAAGCACTCAAACAAGCCTGAGTAAATGGTACTGCTATTCTACCCATCTAACATAGTGTACTGGGTCTAGTGTGTATTCATTTCATTTGTTAAAGTGGGAGGGCCATCAAACTGACTCAAGTAATTAAAAATAATTAGAAGGCCTATCACAATCTGTTACATTCAGTGAAAGTTTGTGCTGTTTGTGTTCATGTACTCATACCTAAGAGTAACAAGTAACTAACTTCAGATCTCAAACACAAAACTGATGATATATGAAATGAGTTCCCTGGTGGATCTTCACTTTGTCGCAGTTTATAAAGCTTTCCTTGAGATTGCTGTCTTCGTTTTCCCTGTGCTATTGCATGGTGTAACCAATAATGGTGACAGCCCTGGTTTATTCTAACGATCGGGGCATAAAAGGTTGTTTCCTGTGCTCCTCAGGGGTTGCTATAATAACCGTGACATTGTTTGGAACTGCAATATTGGCATTTAAACAATCAATAAACTAGTCAATTCCAGTGACTAAATTGTTAGCCAGAGTTTGGTCTGAACATTTTAAATTAATATTCATTCCAGGGTATTCAGTAGGCCATGAGGGGCAACCTTATTGTCCATTACTTCATAACACAGAGGGATCACTATATATTGCTTTATAACAGAGGGAGACAGAAATCAGCTATAATATTTTAAATATTTTTAACAGATCAGTTAGGGATGACCTTAACATGTTCTTCTACTGTGAAAAGTGTTCCTATACAAATGGCATAGTGGGGTTTCCTCATTTATTATTTCTTCTTGACTCCATATCAGTTTTTCTCTGTTTGCAAGTAAATAGATGTGGGTTTTTCCCCCATAACAGTCTGCTCTGTAAACGCAACCTGGGATCTACAAGTTTGGCTGAGTTCTTTCTTGTTCCATGCATCATCACCAGTGATAAAGATCCTGCGAGCAAAAGGCTGCCCTCACTTACTCCTGTCCACTGTCCACAAATTATGTCTGTGTGTACGTCGGTGCAACCTTACTGCATAAGTGCAAATGAGGGCATAATTTGAAGATGATGGGGTTGCGCAGATTGTCCTATAATTGGAAGTTGTTTAAACAATTGTGTTGATGATGCCTGAACCAGAAAAGAATTCACTTCTCTGCCCCAGAGCTGTGTTGGCTGTGCAGGGCTGACAGAAGTATAAGGCATGTGTCACTCAAGTAAGCAGACATGACTTTGAACCTACCTAGGGATTAGGTTTGTCAAGTGGGAAAGTACCATTTTTACATACATATCTTTCAGACAAGAACCATAGTTTGGGTTCAGTCTTGTAAGGTCCTGATTCAGCAAAGCACTTATGCACATGCATGGGACTACTCATATGCTTCAAGTTAAGTGCATGTTTAAATGTTTTGCAGTATCAAAGCCAAGGTGCTCAGCATCTTGCAGGATTGAGTCCTTAAATATTTTTAATGTGAAAGCCCCATTCTGCTCTCAGTTACCTGAAAATTAATGGAGTTGTAGCAGAGCAACTGAAAGCAGAATATGTTTTTTTTTTAAACTGACGAGAAACCTTTTGGCCAAAACTGCTCCATAGTGAGTACCTCTGCACTATATTCTACATTTGCATTCCATGCAGTCTGTGTAAAGAATTAGCAGCAGGGAGCCACAGCTTAGTGAAAACATTTACTCTATGTATTAACAAAAAGAAAAATTTACTGTTTGCTGGCTTCAATAAATGTGCTACTTTGAACATAAGAACGACCATACTGAGTCAGACTCATGGTCTATCTAGTCCATCCTATCTTCTGACAGTGGACAGTATCAGAGGCTTCAGAGGGAATGAACAGAACAGACCAGGACAGTTTATTGAGTGATCCATCCCTTGTCGTTCAGTCCCAGCTTCTGACAGTCAGAGGTTTTGGGACCCAGAGCATGGGTTGCATACCTGACCATCTTGGCTAATAACCATTGATGGACCTATACTCCATTAAATGTTTTTATTCATCAATTCTTCACAGCCCATAGCTAAGTTTTGTTGAATATCCACCTCACTGGCATCATAATTTTGATGCACATAGGATGATATCCATTAGTGGAATGCAACAGCACCAAGACTGGATCCAGATATGAAAGTCATCATCAGCTAATGACTTTACTTAATAGTCATCTGAATGTGTGAGCTGCCTTCAAGACTGACTGGGATTACAGCACAAATTTAACCTCTCTCATTGAGATAAGCCGATAATTCTGAATACCATTTAGATGTGCTTCATCAGATTCTTCCTTCCATTCCCTCAGTTGCTCTTGTCAATGTAAAGTCACTATTAGTCAAGTTCTTGCACCATGGCTATTTCTGACTTCCAGAAGAACCCTCTGATGTAAACTAAAACAGCACAGAGGCTACTCCAATTTACACTAAGGATGGTGCTGGTGGCAGCTTGTCCAAGGACATAGGGGAGATGTTTGAGTCCTCCCCTGAGCTGCACCAAGCACAGCTCAGTCACAGGCTCAGATCCTGGACTATAGTATTAAAACATTTACACACACAAAAATCTATAAATCTACAAGAACAGCTTAAAACATTTGGGCCTGATTCTCATTTACACTAAGGTTCCTTACATTGCTGGGTAAAGGGATGTGCAAGAGGCTGAAAATTCCATTAGCTAAGACCCACCAACACTGCTCTGAAATGGCAGTGAGCTGGAAAAGCATTCTGGGTTTTGACATTCTCATTTTGCTACAGGAGCTTTAGAACGACTCCTGACAGTCCAAGAAAAACACTTTGGACCAGGGAATATTTTACTTATGCCAGCTATAAACTTTGGAAGCAAACCAAAAACTCTGGGTGTGGACAAATAGAATCCTTTTCAATATGCTTTTGCACCAGGGTTGTTGGAAGTGTTTCCCCACATCTAGGGGGATCTGATTCTGCTCTCACACCAGTGTCAATCAGGAGTTACTGCATTAAAGTCATCAGAGTCAGAGTGATGTAAGTATAACCAATGAGAGAGGATACTCAGACCTTTAGCCTCCAGACCTTATTGTGTTTGAGTTGTGGTTTGTTTCCCACATTCCCTCCATTTATACCCTCATTCTCCAGTTGTGGACACATTATCCTGAATATAATCACTTTATTCTTTTTCAGGTTGACCACTGTTTGCTTCTTAACTGGTTGTATTTTACAATTCACAACTATTCTTTTTACTCCTCGTACTAGAACATAAAGATTTGCTGTGCTAGAGCAGTGCAGATTTGAATACCAAAGTTAAGCCATCAGTATCCCGAACAGGTCCCTTCGCACCAAAATGAGAGTGGCAGAAAGATACATTCTTCCATGCTTCTCATTAGGTTAGAACCTCCCTCATCCCCCCAAGTCTGCCTTTTCTCTTAGTTTTTAATTACTAGTTCACCATACAGTAGAGTGTACTGAACTCTGAAATAAATCCACCATCAAATCACCAAATGCATGATGGGGGAAATTTAGCCCTCAGTTAAATCCAGAGTAACTCCAATCAATAGAGTGCTACAGGTTTATACCAACATATCTGAGCCCAGAATTTGATCATATATGTCTGCATTATACTGTCTGGGCTTGTCTATCCTTAAAATGCTACAGCAGCATAGCTGTAGCACTTCAGTGTAAGCACTGTTTATGCCCATTGGAGAGGTTCTCTCGTTGGCACAGGTAATCCACATCTGTGAGTGGCAGTAGCTAGGTTGAGGGAAGAATTCTTCCATCGACCTAGCACTTTTTACATGGGGACTTAGGTCAGCTTAACTATGCCGCTCAGGGGTGTGGCATAGTTTACACTGTTCACATCTTTGACCAATGTAGTCAAACCGACCTAATTTTCTGGTGTAGACCAGGCCTCTGCCTGTGAACTGCAAGCTCCTGGTGGCAAGGATCATGTCTCCCTCTGTCTATACAGCACTGACCACACTCCATGCAAGATAAATAATAAATATAATAATGAATTACTAATGTCATCCTGCTTCACTGTGCATGAATGATATTGACAGGAAAGTACATTTTTCTTGGTTTAGAATTCAGTTTATGATTTATGCTTCTTTTTGCTTTATCTCCCCCTTCCCTTATTGTTTTTTCCCCCCCAGACACGGAGTGAAGCAGCGATGACAGTTTTAAGTGGTCATGTGGTCGTTTGCATATTCGGGGATGCTAAGTCTGCATTGATTGGAGTAAGAAATCTAGTGATGCCATTACGAGCCAGCAACTTTCACTACCATGAACTCAAGCACATTGTGTTTGTGGGTTCACTTGAATATCTGAAAAGGGAATGGGAGACACTACATAACTTCCCCAAGGTTTCAATCTTGCCTGTAAGTCCAAAGCCACGATATTGATACTTTTTTTTTTTACTTAGACACCAACTGGACAGATTCGTATTGACTTTGATCAGAGGCTTTTACTTTTGTCTGTTTATAGGCCTCAGGACTTAGCCCTTCCCCTTTACTATATCTATGAAAACTGAGCCCTGAGAGACCTTATTAGAAGAAATTTGCAGCACTGTTCAGTCCCTTGTCAAGGATGAATTTCAGCTGCTATCAAATGTATTAGCTGCGTTATCTATTGAACATTCACTCTAGTGCCCTGCGTGTAGCCAGTTCTGATGTTGTGATTTTTCTGACAGAATGACAGTACTTACTTATGACATTATTTATGCCTGGAAAACCTTTGAAAACAATTTTTATTATTTGTCTATCTATAACTGTAAAGGCTTGATACATGCTGGCCTGCTAGCTCTCTTGTACAAAAGAGAATGATCACAGCATTTTCATTAAGAGCCCTTCCTTTTAAAAAGGGTTCACAGTTTGGTAGTAAGCATGTACTAAATACAGTGCGTGAAAACCTGGTCCCTTTAATAATAATGGTAAAACACCCATTGACTTCAGTGGGGTCAAGATTCATCCTCTGAGTCCAAAATTCAAAGGGCCTGATTCTCCACTCTCTCATATCATCATTCACACTTGTGCAGTGAGTGCAGAATGCTACCTCCAGTGTAAGTGAATGATTAATTCCAGTTCAGTATGGTTTTACACCCACTGTGTAAATGACTTCACAAAGCACAAGCAATGGAGACTCAGGCCTTTGGTTTGATAGCCGAAGTGATGCTCTATGCTTTACAAAAGTTCAGTAAAGCAAGCTTGGCTGTTGTATTGTTTCAGCTTTTGGAATTCTTTAATATTTACTTACCAGAATAAAAAAGTAGAATAGAAGTTTACCATTTCTTAGAATTTTTTTTTATTAACAAAAATGCAAAGCCCAGAAGCTCTCAGAGACCAGTGATACATTTAGCCTAATGTGGGTATGGATGACAGCATTTATTGAATGGAAAGGCAGCTTTGCCCAATATATGCTGCAATTCACGGTTACTCCAATTTAAGATTTGTTGTTAATCTTTGTTTCTGTTCTGCAATTGCTGTACAGCGACATGGCATAGTTCTGTATTTAGTGCCTCACAAATGGCTTCAAGATCAAATTTTCCCTGTGAAAGATTTTTTTCCCCATAACTGCCAGCCCTGCAAATTCAGCCTGACATCTGAAAGTCAAGCCTCTTACCAGTAATAAAGATTCAGCAATCAGAACTTAGATGATAATATTCTTGATGATGTGTGAGAGAGCAGAATCCAGCTGTTACTACAGACCTATCCAATGTGAAATGTTATTTTTGTTAACAAAATAAGGAGATATTGTAAGGTTTGGATCCTTAGATCAAAAGACTGAAATTTGGCTCCCTTGTACATATGCTTTATGATTCGGTTTTGAATTACGTGATTACACACTACTTTTTTTTCTATGTGACCACTGCCTCATTTAGTATGAAGGATGGACGCACATTGGGCAGAGTTAACGTTGCATGAAAACTTTAAATCAGGCATTTCCTAACTTTTGAGTGCCTGACTTTGCAACGTAAATAATGTTCTTCCAATGTATGTGTGGGAAGGGAGGGAAGATATGTGGTATGAATAAAGGACTGCAGCAGTAGGCCCATGTTCTTGTGTGAAAGCTCAGATAGTCAGCCTTGTGCCTGAAACTAGTACAGACACAAACATTGAATTAGTTTTCCTTTACAAGCTTCCTGGAGTTGTGCACTGGGCTGTGACTTGGGCTCTGCAAACTAGGGCACCATGCTTTTCACCAGGCTTAAAATTCAGTCATCTTGTTTCTCCTAGAAGACGCTGTGGCTATGATCTGCAGCAGGTTGCTGCTGATCTGCCTTGGAGAACCACCTCCCTTTGGGGGGTGTTGGTGAGGGATTTGGGGGGAGATTTTCAAGGGCACAAACAGGAGTTGGGTGCCTAAATCTTATTGATTGTGAATGAAGTTGGGGCTCCTAACTGCCCTTTGTGCCATTCAAAATCTTCTTCTTGAAAATGCTCCATGGAGATCAGCAGATATCATCCTTCCTGACTGTTCTGCATGAATGACCATGAGGTGAAGGGTTGGGGTCTTGTCACTCAGTGTTTAAGGAAGTTGGGGCTGGGCTCTGGGGACCCAGGGACACAACTCAGACAAAGGGAATGTTTAGTGTCTCCATCAGCATTAGGGTCTGTGGGTACCAATCTGTGGAAGCTGACTGAGCTGTGCCTGGCACACATATAAACCCACTTTTTATTGCACAGGGCTCTGAGTACTGCCCCTGGTACCTAGACATAGTACCTTTTGCCTTAAATAGTCCATATCTTAAGTTTCAGAGTAAGTATTGTCTTATGTATAAAATGTAGCAGGTTAAGTGTTGTATCTTGGTTGCCTTAGTTATGAAAACAAAAAACAAAAAAACAACCCACTAACTACCACAACATTTCATTTTAAATACTGCATTCTCTGATAGGTAATTGTAGCTCCAGGAAATATTATATGAATTGTGCACATTAACTTAACATCCTGTTTCTGTTTCAAAGGGTTTAATCACATAACTTTAAATATCAGTGTGTTTTGTTGGAAGAAGCACCAAAAACATGTATTGGAAAGGATTAACCTTTCTTGTGTATTGCTCCAGGTAGTACACATTTTAGAAAAATAGCTTCATCTTGATTGCAGTTAGAATGTGTAGGACACACAAAGCTTTCCTGTTTAAATTGTTATTTTTTTTTGCCCGAGACCTGTATGACCTGATATTAGATAAACAGACATTTAGAACACACCCCTTGTTATATTCAGAAAGCCAGAGGTTGCCACATGATAGTGACTTAAATCAAGACAATTTCAAGTCACAGATGAGATGTAGAATGCTGGCATTATTCCTATTTCTTGTTTGTTAGTAATAGCTTGACTGAGTATTGAGACTGAACCTAAAATGCTGCCATCAGCACCAACTACCCTTTAGATTAGCACACATCTCCTATTCCCTGGCACATAGTTAGACCAGCTTAATGTCAGAGCATAAAGAAGATACTTGTTAAATAATTTCCCAAAGCTCCTTCTCAATCTTTAATTTGTTTTTCTTTTTTCCCCTCTCTCTCTCCCCCACCCTCTTTTTTTCACTATGCCGAAGGGTACACCATTAAGTCGGGCTGATTTAAGGGCTGTCAACATCAACCTCTGCGACATGTGCGTTATCCTGTCAGCCAATCAGAATAATATTGATGATGCTTCGCTGCAGGACAAGGAATGCATCTTGGCGTCACTCAACATCAAATCTATGCAGTTTGATGACAGCATTGGGGTCTTGCAGGCTAATTCCCAAGGTAAGGACTGCCCTATAATACTTCTCTGCCATGCCTACAGGGGACAGGACCTGGCAGGAAGAATATCCCTCACTCAGTAATTCAAAGAACCTTACATCAGCTTGCTTGACAGTTAAACCTGCTGATTGGTATGATGGCTTTTAAAGGGACAGTCACATAGTTTCCCTGCTGTATCACAAAGGAAATCTGGAGCAGTGGGGAATGAATGAACCAAGATTTTAATTTTTAAATGTGTTGATCTTTCCTTTTTTCTTTTTTTCCCTTTCATCACTGATTGCTAAATCCACACGATTCTGTGCTTTCTAGTTCCACCAAATAAAGTTGCATTGTTACACATGACATGGCCAGAGATGACTTATCTTCACTCTGGATGCAAAGTGGCATGATGGCAAATGCTGGCTGACAGGATTGTTTGCTGTGTACACCAGACGGCAGCCAAAAAATAGCCAAATGCCACACGGCAAAAAAGAAAAGGAAAAAAAGACAATTTAAACAGAGGTTTCTTTACATTTTCTGTGCTTTCTTGCTCAAAAAGTCCCCCAGAATGAACTCAAAACTGATTTCTGCCCTTGGATTGGCAAGCACAGCTCCCATAAAGGCATGGAACAAATCCTACAGTCTTCACTGAAGTCCATGGGCCTGATTCATAAGTACTCCAAGGCCATTTTACACCAACTATGCTGGTAAGCAGGCCTAAGACACCTATCTAATACCCTCAGTGTAGATCCAGCCATCTTTAGTCCCTGCAGAAGTGCAGGCAAGAGTGGCCTCTGTTAAACCTTTTAAAATGATGCAGTGAGTTATCCTGTAAGCACCAAACTTACCCTCGAGGTACACAAGAACTGAGATTAAGACTCATCCGTGCATAGAGAGCATGGCTGGAAGGAAGGCCTCTTGTGACCTCTCCTTGCTGCTCTGTACAGTTTAGCACAAAATCTGTACTTGGGCTGAACTGTCACTGAAGTTAATGCAGTTAAGCCTGAACAAGGAATGCGGGATTAGGCCCCGTAGGAGTGCCCCTCAAGAGCCTAATGACAGAATGAAAACCTAAAGCACATTGGTAAATTGATAGATTTAGAACCATGTTCTCAAATGGTGGGATTGTGAATGCTGGCACAAGAACCACTTGCTCACCTCAAATGTCATCAGCAGCAGTGGAGGAAGGAGTTCTGAATCAGAACCAAATCTTTGTAACTCCTTGTACATGGGCTAGCAAATATACCTTGTGTGAAAAAGTAATTACACTGTGGAACTCATTGCCACAGGATATCACAGAAGCCAAGAATTTAGCAAGATTCAGAGGGATTGGATATTTATATGGGTCACAAGCGGGGGAGATGAAATTTCATGCTCCAGAGTTTAAGCTAATCTCTAACTATTAGGCATCAGGATAAGACCTCCCTAGTGGGGCTGCCTGCTGTGGGGTTTCTTACACCTTTGTCCAAAACATCTGCTGCTGGCTGGGATATTGGACTAGCAGGACCACGGGTGTGATCTGGTATGGCAGTTCCTTCCAGAAGGTGTGCAAATAGTAATGGAGGGGACCAGTGTTTGTTTTGATGTATTTGTTTGTTTTTTAATGGTCATAAAGCAGATCATTTTCCCCCCATGATCTGGCCTCCTTCCATAGGCTGGTGCAGAAGGGAACAGTTTGGTTATAATACATGGCCCTCCCCAACAATGTGCTGATCAGGAGCAAGCAGGGGAAATTTCTTCCCAGCCTTGTGCGCAAGACTGGGGGGTTCACAATCTGGGACTTAAAGTGTAGACTCAGTGGAAGCTTATCATAGCTCTCAGCTGGCACACACCTTTGTTTGCTGTGTGCATGAATCAGTCAGCATTCCCATCAAATGTTCCCTGGATCACGTAGCTCCTGAGCGGCAACATCCAAAGGAACAGAAAGTATCTGATCAGTCTGGTGCAGTCACAGACACATAACGTCACATGACACCAAGACAGGAAAAGGATATCCAGAGGGAAGAATCTGGGCAAGAGGGACCAGGCAAACTAGGAAAAACAATGTTCACCGGAGGCAAATCAACTGAGGATAGCTGCAGAGGAGAAATCAAACTAACACACAGCCATAGCTTTTCGAATTTCCATCACTGCAAGCACAATCAACTTCCAATCAGTTAGAAACATCACAGTAACTCACTGGCCACTCACAGTGCCAGCTGTCCAGAAATAACCCATGCCACCCAGTGAAAACAGTAGAAAAGTGGCACAGTGACATGGAAGAAAGAACTATGCCCTGCCAAAGAGTTGGTTGCAGGCAGTAGAAGACAACAAAGGTCCCAGGACCCCAAATATCACTGTTAACCAGCTTTTATCATTCTACAGCCCTTTAAACTCATCCCTGAATCCATCATTACCAACATCTGAGCCTGACGCTGCAGTGGTAGCATTACTTCTCAGCAGCTGGGGCTGTCAGGGAAGGCTTGCTTTCCTATCTCACTGAATGTTTTTTTTTTCATTTGTGGCTCATATAGATTATTTGAACATGTGGAAGCTCCATTTTTAAAATCAGGCCTCCTTTCTGATTGCACCCACAATCTAAATAGTTGTGTTTCATGCACATCAACTTAGCTCCATGTTGCTATGCTTATTGTGCTTATGTGTATATTATTACATAAGCTAAGCAAGCTCACATCCTTATCCTTCTCTAATCATGCTTGGGTTTGTTTTATTTTTATTTTAAATTCTATCTCCCTCCCTGCAGTAAGAGACCCCCTCCATTTTGGCTAGCCCTATTTAGGATGACTAAAGAGCAGAAGCCTCCCCATTGTGTTCCAGCATTGAGGTTAGCAACAATCCCAGTCCTTGTATTCTTTGCATGGAAAGACTCTGCCAGTGTAGAGAGGAATTTTCCCTCCCAGCAGGAACCACAAAAGCCCCAAATAAGGGGATACAAAGTTGGCTTTTTCAGAAGAGAACTTCAGCCACAAGTGCCATGACCACGAGTCAGAAATGGTGGAGTGGAGTCATAGTCTAACCCTTCTTGGCACCATTCAGTGGAGGAGAAGTGGATTATGCTGTCTTTTATAAAAGGCTTGGGGGAGTTCCCACTGCAGCACACACTCCCAGTGCCCCTGGACACATTCTTCAGGCAAAGATCCATGTGCATTTTAAACACGTGGCAGGTTTATAAAGCTTTTCCATGGAAGCAGACTTTTCTATGCATGCTGACTGCAGAATTTGGCCAATGACTTATTCCTCTGGCAACATATTTTAGGAAGGGTGAGAGGGGGTATTTTAAAAGCAAACTACTGGGTTGGAAAACAGTTACCATCTCAGTGGGTTGCACCATTTACGTATCTACAACTTCTGAATTGGTTACATTGCTTTCAACACAGGAGGTTTTCTTGAAAGATCTTGAATACTATGGCTAGGTTGTCAGACACAATTAGATCAAAAGGTGGCATAAACTTTGCAGGGAATTGTATCCAATGTGACATTTTGTCATGAGATGCAGTTTTAATGTAGAGTAGGCACAACTACGGTGACAATTATATAAAGCAGGTGATCCAGCTTCTGCTGGTCAGCAAACAGTATAACAGAACCACTTTGCAGCTCCTTGTTGGCAACGAAGTGCCTTTATTTACAGTGAGTTGTCACTAGTTTTGCTTAAACATTCGTGTATTATTTAACACACTCATTTATCCAGGAAAACATTTCAATTCACATCAGCCTGTACAACCCCTCACCGTTGCCAAACTGGGCTTTTCTAGTTCTGAATATATGGTGTTTGAATTCATACCCAAATAAAGATTACCTTTGATACGGTATTGAAGAGGGAAGAAATAGCTGCATATGGATTAGGCGTCCCAATTTTTGACCAGGGAATTTACTTATTAGTTTTTGTAATGTTGTTTAAATAGCATCTGGGGTGTTGCCATGTAATCAGTACAATTCTGTGGTTAATGTTAAGTGCAATCTCACATGCAAAGCAGATGTATAATTTATGCTTGTCCCATCTAAAAAGAAAACAATATAGCAATAATTTCATTGATAGGTTTTTCTATGAGCAAGGAATGCCACCTGTTTGTTCATGTGAGGTTTTCCCACCACCTCTGACCCCTAGCTCTCCCCCTTCACACAACGACCTTTTCTTTTTAAGTTCTTGGCCTCCCAGAGATTTATTGGAGCAAATATGCTCTGTCTAGGGTGAAGGAGCTTTTGTGACCCAGAAAGAGAACTGAATGTGGTATGCGTGTATCTATCATGTCTTCAGTACATTATTTAAGATATATTTGTATGCAAATACTGCTCAAGTTTAGTGCGGTGTGAATGCTGAGGTACCCACTGCCATTGCAAGTAATCTTTTTTCTGACAGCAGTTGTCACTAAAATAAATGTTCATGAGTGGACTTTCGATTTTTTTTTAATTGACAAAGCTTACAGTTAAATGTTCCCAGGCTTTGAACTTAACCAGGAAGTCTTTAAACAGCGTGATTAAAAAATCAGCTTAAAAAGGGGCAGAGGATATTTAATAATTGTTTGTGCATGTAACGTGTAAATAAATGTAAAGACATACTCTATAATCTCAATATTATATATGTGATGGTCCTTGGCCCTCAAATTCAGATCTGGACTCAGGCACAAACTTCCCAAAACTTCTGGGTATTTTGGATCCAGAGTTATATTTGGGCTTAACTTTTGTAGCACCATCAATAAGTAAGGTTGCCCAACTCTTCTCATTACAAAGACCCTGTTCTGAGCTGCTTATAACTTTGCCAAGCTTTAATCATTTGGGCAGGAGTCACCTATGCCAGGTGTCTGCCTGAGGCTGAACTGCTTTGGAAAGTTTCAGCGAAAACTATTTAACTGCTTCTGAGAACAAGGTGAGGGGGAAAAATATGCTGATGACATTTTCTTTGAGCTCTAGCACCTTCATGTTTTGAAGCAAGAATATAAAAATTGGTAGGGCATGGATGTGTGCGGATCTTGTGAAAATCTGCCCAAATTTGACCAAGTTATAAGCCTTTTAGAAATGTCAGTTTA